ACATTGTGGGTAAAATTTATTGATCGTACGCCGGAATAAAATAAAGTATTGCTATTTGTTGGATATGCATTGTTTGGTCTTTGTAAACCAATGAAAACGTTTATCGTACGCTTATGTTAAATAATAATTAAGAATGCATTATAGATTCTGAAACGCTAAATTAAGGCAACCCCCTCCCCCTTTTGTTCTTCAGTAGTACTACTTACTTCGCAGCATGGTGCGGAGCCAATAGTTTCATTCGATATTCACGCCATCTTAAAATTATTACTTAACAAATATCTGTTCTGATTAGTCGCCGTATGATGTGGTTAAAATTCGATTGGCTAGAATGAGGTATAGAATTTGGAACATGTCCCACACTGGAGAAGATATTAAAGTGCAGCATGGGTATTCCATAATTATCGCTTCATGTCGACATAATTTATGATACTGCGAAGCAATCCGTAGCTTTTTAGAAGGTAAAACTTGTATCAAACTGGATATGCATTGTAGAAAGACTTCCTGCATGTTCATCAATTTAGAAAATGGTCTAAAGCCTAAAAAGCACGATATTTTTTCAGGTCATTAAATATTCGGCATTTTTTAAATTTTAGTTTAATGAACACATGGATTTAATATTGGGGAAACGTTCATCAAGACGTTTTATATATATAATTTTGTACACATCTACGTGACTCTATGACATACAGTTCTTTCTTAACTTATCTTACATATATGTAGATTTTTAAGATAACATTTTATTTATTGTTTGATATTTCAACAGATCGTTTACAGAGTTAAGTGAGCTATGAAACATTTAATCACCTCTTTGATGCAGTTTTTATAAAAATTTCTCATAAATGCCATGAAATTATCATGCGCAGCAAATAACTGTTTATTTCTAAAACTGGTAAAGCATGCAATTTTGTATACGTCTTTCCCCTTTCCATTCATATATTCATTAATTTTACAATTTGTTTACTGGATCTTTATATTCCAGTCTTTATTTTACACTCACCCCATTTCCATTTTGAATGCATGGGTTTGTCATTTTGTAAAACCGAGTTTGACGAATCATATTAAAAGTAATTTTAGCCTAATGTTAAGTAATTAGCCAGTTAACAATTCACGAATAAGAATTGCAGGGAAATATGACACATACAAAAATGAAAATACATGGCGTCAACGTTTGATGGTAAATTGCGTTTTCACCACCATGTAACAACAATCATCATATGAAGTCATTTAAGGTCAAGGAACAGTAAATGGGCTATGTCACATATTTTGGTAAAATTTTACATACAACTGTAGCTCGTTGAATCATATATGAAAATCGAAAAAATAATGCCTTTATCTCTTTTATTTTCTGAATTTTTTTTACAAAAAGGAAAAAAAAGTATAGAAAGCACACAAAATCGTCGAAAAACGTTCATAAATTTATCTTAAAATAATCAAATTTCCGATTTCAAATATACATAGATTTTTCTTAAAAAACTACATGTTGTTGATACATAAATTTTCGTTTTAATGATATAAAATAATTATACGGTCAACGACTACTTCGTTTATGGTGTATTAACCGTACTTGTTACCTTGTAGGTAGTGAAAAACGTAAAAAATCGACGTTTTACGGCCTAAAACGCGATGACGTTAAGATTATTTCGATGTTTTGTGGTACTGTTTCACCTAGTACACCACTTTGATTGATGTATACCGTTAAAACGAAGTCGGTGACCCAATTATTATTTTACACTATTAAAACGGAAGTTTTTATACCAGCAACATAAAGTTTTATAAGAAATCTATGTATTAAAAATTAGAAATTTTATGATTTTAAGACAAAAAGAACGTTTATCGACAATTTCATGTGCTTTCTATACAAATGTTCCCCTATTTTGAAAGATTTCAGTCAGTAATATTTCAGAAAATAAAAGAGATAAAGGCATTATTTTTTTCGATTTTCAGTTAAAGTTCAACGAGCCAAAGGTGTATGCAAAATTTTAAGAAAATCTGTGACAAAGCCCATTTACTGTAACTTGACCTTAAATGACATATTTATACCCTATGCAACGCAGTGAAAACGGGTATAATGTGTCGACCTGTTCTTCAGTCCGTACGTTGCTCCGTTTGTCCGTTATCACTTTGTTGGTGTCAGGGAACCATCTTCATTATTTGTTAGATTTTCTTCAAATTTGGATGAGGTTTCCACTCATTCGATTAAAAACCTTGGGTGCGTTCGACAATCAGAAAAATCCAATACGGGGATGTATTTTTATTAATATCAGTTCGGGAAAGAGCCTTCATTTATTTAGATCACATTTAGATGAAGGTTTCCACTTCTTACATCCTCTTTTGAGATGGATGTCAGAAAACTTTTTGAAATTTATGTAGAAAAAAAGACGAATCAGATTCATAAGTCTATACTTAGCAAACTGTCTCTATGATTTCATGGCAACGTTGCCGCCCTGAGTGCGGAGCGTCGGGGATAGAATTACACTTGTAAGATACTTTAAATAAAATGTTATCAAAGGGACCTATGTTTGATCTAAATACACCACTGTCACGATCTTTAGTATACACATGGTACTGTCATTTGACGTAAAGCAATCGACCAATCAAACAAGACATATAATACCTTATATTCTGTATGTGCCTGTCCTAAGTTAGGAGCCTGTAAGTTAGTGGTTGTCATTTGTTGCTGTATATCATATTAAGTTTTCATTTATTGTTATGTACCAATACCCGCGGTACGGGTTTTGCTCAAGGTTGAAGGCCATGCGGTGAATAAAGGTCGTTAACGTCCATGCGATTTGGTCTCTGGTGAAGAGTTGTCTCATTGGCAATCATACCATATCTCCTTATTTTAATATATACATCAATACAAATTGATGTTTAACGCAAGGGGGCGATAATATATATATATATTCAGGGCGTTTTATAAATCAGTTAATAACTTACTAGTGGAAATTGAGAACTTATAAGATATAGACAACCAACGCCTAGCCTTTTTCAACACAATAAAGACTTCATAAGTCACGTGCCCTACCGCACGTGACTATAGATTTTATAAAGAGGCGGAAAATATCAAGGGGACATTCAAAACTCACAAGTCGAAGAGAGATTCAGTCTGAAAAAGTTATGGCAAAAAAAAAAGAACTAAGGATGTATTCTTCTGAAGTTTCATTCTCGTTGAAATCTCGTCCTAGAACTATTTCCAAAACATGTGATACAAGTGGAAAATATCAATGAATTTAAAAAATATTATAATCAAACTAAACTCTGTGAAAAATATTGTGTATTTACAATTAGTAGTTTTTGAGTAATAAAATTTTCAAATTTTATAACCAATCAGCCAAAATGTTGAGAAAATGGATGAGGGGTACAAGAAATGATTTTATCAAAAATATGTACATCCCATATCAATTTTTTCTTTACAAATTTCTTTGATATGTATTTTTCCAATCATTTATAACAAAGAAGTTGAAATAATATGCTTTTTGTTCAAAAAAAAAAAGAGAAAAATCCAAAATTTACAAATTTAACAGCATGGTCAATTTGACACAAAAAAGCAACACAATTTTATAAAACTTTCTAATATTAACACCTACATATAGTTTTTTTAAGTTGAATTTATTCAGATTGGTCCACTTCATCTTTAGTAAAAGTATGAAAAAAAGTTTAATTGTGAAACTGGGATTTTTTTCATGATAATAGCCCAAAAATGGGTAAAAATGGATGAAAAATGGGAAAATCATCAAATTTGGTTACTTTCAAATGACCGTAGCAAAAAAAAAGAAGTGCACCACCATATGATTTTTTCTTCAATTACTTTCTTACAGTCATATAAACTCAAAAATCAGGTTAAGAAAAAAAATTTAATTCTAGAAATTTTTGGCTCCTCAGAGGTGTACATCCTTAAAGACAAAAAGACACAAACAAGGGTCTACATAACCCTACATGAAAAACTTAAGACTGAGCAAAACGAACCCCACCAAAAACCGAGAACAATCTCAAGTGCTCCGGAAGGACAAGGAGTTGCAGATGCTACAAGACGCCTTTTCCTCTGTTTATAGATATGACAAAGTTCAAGTTTTGCAATAAAAAGCACAAACCTTTTTCGGATATAAATATAAAAAAGAGGCATATTCATATACAATATACATGTATATACATTGTCGGAAAGTTTAAAAATTATTTGTACGTACTCAGTTTAGAAACAGGACGAAAAGCGAAGCATACATTATATATTTCCGACAATATACATATAATGTGTTTATCCTGCAATTTACATCCGAGACTTGAAGCTTTAGTTGTTTAAATCCAAATAGTTGTCTCTGATTTTTCATAGAAATCGACATAGTTTAAACGCGGAGCGCGAAGAGGACCCCAAAATGAACTGTTACGCAAAAAGAAATATTCACATAACCGATTGCTCAACCTGGAAGCGGGGCAACAGGAAACATATTCTTTGGTTTTGGGAGAGTTTAAGGATGTATAATGAGGAAATACGGGCGAAGGAACAAAAGGACGGATAAACAAAGATACTAGATAAAAATGAAAATGCATGACTTAGGTTTAAAATGGGGGCGATTACTTTAATGATTGTAAGAGGAGTGTAACTTTAGAACTGTTGTTTACTAAGATACTGATTCGCTTTACAAAAGCCTTTTATGTTCAAACATTGACGCGATCAAATTGTTAATTATCACAATTTTAAAGGCAAAACAAGACAGTTTTAAACTATACACACTAAGCATGTAACAATGTGAACACAAAAAACCTTCAGTATTAAGGAGGGGCTCGAGAATATTTCTTTCGTTAAAAATAAATAAAATATGTGAATGAATTATATGTTGTCAATACTTCAAGTGTCACTACCCTTAAACACACAGGTGTCATACATTATAAATGAAAGAAAAATAATCATCTCTAACTACTTAAATATACTCTAAAATTGCTGTGATTCAGTCATTTAAAAACCAATCCATCTATAATTCAAGCATGCCCCATTAAGTTAATAAAACCCACAATGCAACTATTTAGTGGGCATGAACTAGTTTATTTGCAACATAATCGTGCACAAAAAGTAGATGAAGGGAGATTTATAACAACATACCTTAATCATAATAACTGCCGCGCAAAATTAGAAAATTTGGACTTAAAAGGACTTTTTCAGTTTTGCGGATAAAAACAAAAATATCAAATAAGCAATAACTTTTAAACATTTTCTTTAAAGTTTACGCGACATAGAGGACGTTTTTTTGGATTAGCAAAACTTACTCCATTAAGGTAAGAATATTAAAAATTTGAAAAAAAAGGATTAATTTAGCAAATACAAAAAACAAATTCAGCAATATATAAATTCTGAAAGTATTACCTCAATTAGGCCTATGAAGATATTGTTTTTTAAAAATTTTTTTACCGAGGAGAAACGTAGAGAAACGTACTCGTATCGTTCCCTCACCCCCTCTTTACCCCACAAAAAAAACCCTAAAAATCAACATGTTCGAAAAAAGATGCAAAAGAACGGCCTTTGAAGTGCAATCGTTTCATAAATTTTGGAATCTACAAAGGGTCAACATAGAGCATGTTATGTTTTTCAAATAATGACTTTCAACTATTTTTAGCTGAATTGTAACAGGACCAGGCGACCGGATACAAAAGCGTTGTGAGCCTCCTTCCTCTATCCCTGCTCCCGTTGCGCCGTATTTGCCACATATATAAGAACGTTTGATTGAACTTTTACTTTTTAAGTCATGACCCTTTCTTCCATCAGTTATTTCATATCCAAAAAGTTTCCAGACGTTTTTGATGGTATTTTGAGACACGGGTGAAAATGTCAGTAAAGAAATTATAACAAGAATTTACCCAGATTTTGCAGGGATGAACACTATAATGTAATAAAAAGCAAGTTTGAACTCCTCGATTATTGTTATATGTGTATATTTTTTGGGTGAGGGATACTTTCCTTCAGAAAGTTAATGGAAAGATAGTTTCGGGGGGGGGGGGGGGGGGGGGGGGGGGGTGGAAGGGGATAAACATTGATATAAAATCTTGTTCCTTTATATTATTGAATATTATAATTTAATTTATTTCAAATCGAGAGAAAAAATGGTTTGTCTCAAGAAAAACCAATACCCCACAAAAGATGAATGACCGGTGCTACGTAAAGAAGATCGGATCTCTCAGAATTTTTCGGTGTATTTTTCGTATTGGTCACTCGCTTGTCTATGGGATACTAAGAACACACTTGAAGAATTAAAAATCTTCGTTGTTCTAATTTTAAATGTCCTTTTATGTAAGACAATGCATCATGTATGTGTAACTTTTATAAATATATTGACTCAGTTGATAATACCAATGGAAATATTACGTCCAGAAATTAAATCCTACTCCTCACTAAATGATGAAATTTAGATTAATTTGCATATTCCAATCAAATACCGCCTCCAAATATTCCCCAACACCTTTTTGACATAAGTTCCTAGTACTTACATCGCCACAGTTCTAATTAATCGGAAATCCGTTAATATAATATACATCCTATTAGTTACAGTTTTTAGATGATATGATGTGCTGCCTACACAAAGGGGAAGGGCCAATTTCCCCGGATTGTAATTCGCAACAGGGTCATTTTCTAAAAGTTCTCGATCTATTTTTTAATTCCCTTACTATAGGTTTAAATGTGTACTTTGTAGGTTCTAGCCATATTTTGGGGTATTTTCGAACATGTGCCCACAAAATAAGTTAGTCCTATAATATTATCCTTCGTAGGTCCATATTGTTTGTTTTTAATGTTTTTTATGCCCCACCTACGATAGTAGTAGGCGCATTATGTTTTCTGGTATGTGCTTCCGTTCGTCCGTCCGTCCGTCTGTCCCGCTTCAGGTTAAAGTTTTTGGTCAAGGTAGTTTTTGATGAAGTTGAAGTCCAATCAACTTGAAACTTAGTACACATGTTCCCTGTGATATGATCTTTTTAATTTTAATGCCAAATTAGAGTTTTGATCCCCAATTTCACGTTCCACTGAACATCGAAAATGATAGTGCGAGTGGGGCATCCGTGTAATATGGACACATTTTTGTTTCTTATATATTTCTCAATGCTGCTGGTTTTTAGCTTTCAACTGCCTTTATTTTGCATCGATCGGAAACCCGGGAAAAATATTTAATTAAATGGAGTTTATCATATCCATTTATTACATCAAACCTTTCTGATAGGACACCCCACCTATATAATAGAAAGAAATGTGATACGTTATATAATAATTTAGTCTTGTCATAAAATTTAACATATCAATTATAAAATAAATGTTATCCTGGGTTTTGATGTGGTTTATTAAAATGCACCATATTAAGTAGTTGTCAATTTAAGTTTTATCCGAAATTGACATCTTGTGAAACGTATTTTTGTCAATTAGGTGCAATATAAATGTACATGAAAGGAATGAAAAATAATTTCCTTTTATACCCGGGCAGATAGTCGGCATGTGTTTTATAATACATTTTGTAAGATATTATGAGAGTTATTCTCCCTCATAGTGAGTTATATTGTCTATTATATAGACTATTACCTCACTTCGTAAGAGCCATATGAAAAAATTGTTTATGACATATTTATGTACCATAACCAAACGTAGATTCTGCAAAATGGGTCTACTGGGTGGGTAATTTAGACTTCCACTGTCAAATGAGGGTTTTGCCTTGCAATAGGCCAGCTACGGACCCCTCAAAAAGTTGTTGCAAGAGTTGAACTTCTTTAACGTTCATATAGAGTCGCACTCTCCTACACGAGTCATCGATTTCAACCTTATAATTCCATTTATATTTCACGTTCAACCAATCGAACGACCATTGTTAGGATGAGTTTTACTGTCGGATGATCCCGGGGTTCACCTATTTTATATACCAGTAAACCCTTTGGATGGCGAAGATATAATGTGAAATCAAATTTCTTATATTTTAACTTTTCGCATTATTGTATGAATTTTAGAATTCTTTATGTATATTATTGGGTAAATTGAAATGGCCTTAAACAGAAGTCACCCAGTCCAGTAAATGACATGTTGATATTTAACTCTCTATCACTTTCTAATCTTAACAGCCAATTACATATAGTTATATGGTGTTATTATCTTTTATTTTTTCATCCGTGGATTTTTCTATGTGCCTCATACAAAAACATGAACAAATACAAAATCTTAACGAGAGCAGTTTAACGCAATATTGTAAAACTTAATTGTATAATGGAAAGTAGATATCAAGTTAAAATTTATGGTAATGGACCTATCTTACACATTGGTATCAAGTACTCTTAAAATTTTCTGATGACACTTTAATATGTCATGAAATAAAATTACTGTAATATAAGAATAAAATGGGTTTAATCAAAATATTGTTAATACAAATGAAAGGTATTAAAATAACGTGGAAGACTATTCAAAAATATATATAAGAAGAAAAGCAGCAAACAATGGTATATTTAGTCTGTTGCAGGAGAATAAAACAAAATACTTGTCACGGCAAACTGTTGCGTTGATCTTCCAATGACGCCCTTTTCAATCTACATGTAATTATTCGTTTTTACGAGGATGACATCCGTAGATATGCTATAAAACTACTCTCTAAACGAGTAATCCGAAGGAAAATTCCGGTTATGTGGTTATTATGTGGGTGAATTACAGCGAGTAGGCGGCTGCCAACAGTTTCCGTGCAATAACTTATGAACCGTTCAACCATTGCTTTTCAAATTTTCATGTATTGTGACTGATGACAAAATTGCGGCCAAATTCAATATAAGTTCGATATATGGCGATTTTCATCTTTTCCGTTCAGGTGTTATTGTCCTTGATATTTTCTTTTTTTAAATTGCACTTAATGTCGATTCTGTGTAGTAATATATGAGCCGTGCGTTTTACCAATGCTTTTCAAATTCTAATATGTTGTTACTGATGACGAAATGAAAGGTCAAATTCAAATTGATGACTTTTGTCGTTCAGGAGTGATGGTCATTGATGGATTGAAAAAGAAGCACATAAAGTGGCTAGACAAACAAACCTGAAAATGCCTTCAAAATACAGAAAACCCGATTTGCTGTCAATTTTACAGCTCATGTTTTGCTGGTACTTTTAATGCCGTTTACAACCGAAAAATCATGGAATCTTACGCTTGCGCAAACTTTTCGTTGGATATCACGATTTCTTATTTGCTACGAGGTCGTGATTATTGCTAAATAATTTTTGCACGTCTGACAGAGGTTAAATTGCATACTATAAATTGTTGAGAAAATAATCCAAATTATTTTGGATGACGGAATATATCATGCGTTTGGATATACAAATTTAGGTGTATAAACGGTCAGTTTCATCATCGATCGACCAAATTTAAATATTACCATTATTTACATAACTGATAATGTTGAACTATCATATTGATATATTCAGGTTAACATTTAATTTGATTTACAAAATAATGGGTGTTTTCAGTTATTATTATATGTGTGGGTCCGTATTTTTTCAAATCGCAACAGGCTTCAATGATTTTACTTACACCAGATTTGATTTGAATTAACATTGTTAGTACTTATAATATTTATATATCTAGATAAAACTATGGAGACAGTATATCCTTATGATTGTGCACTATTAGTATCTATTTATATGAAAGCGTTATGATATACGCCAGGGGTGGATCCAGCCATCTATAAAGGGGGGGGGGGGGGTCCTAACCCAGGATACAGGGGGGATTCCAACTATATGTCCCCATTCAAATGCATTGATCGTCAAAAAAAAAGGGGGTTGCAACCCCCGGACCCCCCCCCCCCCCCCCTCCTGGATCCGCCACTGTACGCACTCCACTGAGTCTAATACATTATACACAGCTTTTAAAATTATATCATTCAATAGAAGAAATGTTTGATATCTATAAAATAAGTTTTTCAAGAAAACGCAAAAAAAAAACCAGCTAAAAAGGACCGTTTCTTTCCCTAATTGTTTTTTTGTCAAATGCTTGTAAGATTTTGTGTCATGAAATAACCTACAGGTATGGAAAAAAAAACGTATTTCTTGTGCGTACCGATTCATATTACCTTTGAAGTGCAATTTAACATCAAATTGTTTTAAAATTATTTTTAAGGTTGCTTATGAAAAACTGAATTGAGACTTATAAAGAAAAGGTAGGGTCAATTTTCCCTATATTTGTTTCATTCTCAGAGTCAAAATATAAAAGTTGTCAAATCCTATTAAAATCTAAATATTAAAGAGTCTTTATCATATTCTTAAAACGTTTTTC